CAAGGACAAGAAAGAGAAGAGAGTGGGAATGGGGAGGAGTTTTATTTTCACATTCTTCCTCTTGCTTTGTTTACTCACTGCCTGCAGAAAGGCTGCAATGCCAAGTGCCAAGATTTTTTTCTTTCACACATGCACAAAATGTTGTAAAAATCTGTGTTTGCTTCCTACCAGTTAAAAAAATGGAAACACTTCCTAAGTGGAGAACAGAAAGTTTTCTCTAACGCAAGTTCACATGCTACAAATTGAAAGATGGAGTTTTTTTCCTTCTTACTAGCTACAGCCTCACAGCTCACAACTAGTGAGCAGCAGTAAGTGGACATTCATGTACCAAGGTATTTCTTTGCCCAGTGCTGAAGTCACAGCTGATAAACAGAAAACTGCCAGGGGCTGGTACTCTCTTTAATGGTGCAACAGCTTTGCCCATTGTTTTGTTCTGGCCCTCTGGAGTGCTTGGAGCTGCAGTGCCCTCGAGCCATACCCAGCTGTGGATGGTCAGGGGGTCCCTCTCAGTTCAGGAACCCAATCCACAGCTCGGAGCCTCTGCTCTCCAGGGACACAAGACCTGACTTCCTGCACAGGAAAGCATCTGCAAAACTTCAGCTGGATGCTTTGTAAACAATTTTTGTGCATCACAGACATGGCCTCATGATGAAAGCATTGAATTAGGGGTTTCGTGTTCTTACTAAATGAATCTCCTTCAGGGGAAAAAAAAAAGTAATGCTGTGTATAGCAGAGATTTTTCTGTGCCTTTTGATGTGATCCTACTTGGATTGCAAAGTCTTGCCTAATGCAGGCTAAGGTGTTTATTGGTATTGGAGGTCATAAAAAATTGGAAAGGCTTTGCCAGGAAGCTCTTTGGGAAATGTGAATTGTCCATGCACATTGTGCAGGTACTGTTTTTACTTGGGGGTCTGCAGATGGGAGGGCCACTTTGCCCAGGCCAGTGCTCCCCGCTGACTTCTCATGAGATGGGTTTTGTTTTTTCCCTGTGGTCTTTCTTTTCAAAGCAGAGCAAATTACACCCATCATCAAGGGAACAGCAGAGCTGGGCATATATCAAAGCTCAGTCCTTGGGGACAGCAACACCAAGATATCTGCTCCAGGACAGGAATATGGTGCTGGTGACTTTGAAGTCCTGCTGTCTTCCTCCTTATAGCATGTAGCATGAGAAGAGCATTTCCCAGGACAAGTCATCCAGTTGTTTGCATTGAGGATCTTAACTCTTCTCCTGCTTGTGTAACCCCTTGTCAACCTTGCATCTGCCCTCCTGGCTCTTGTCACTTCCCAGAGAGTGGAGTCATTGTGATGGGATGTGAGAGGAAAGGTCTCACTATAGTGGCAAGGCATGTATAAAATATGACATAGTACATTTAGCTAAACACATGTACTGATGTTCGTCATCAGGGGGATACCATGTGGGTACAGATTATGCTACCTTTGCTGTGTTGGCTAATACACACACAGTGGGTTCTCTGATAAATCTGATTTGCTCTGTGCAGAGATAGTTTCCCTCTGTTTTGTTGTCCAATGCACCAGGCATTGCATGTCTGTCACATGCTGCCTCTCTTTAGATTGAGTGTCTCAGAAGTGCATTTTCTCTTGCAGATTTAGACACAGGTGGTTCCTGTATGATCTATCATGCCTGCTGGTGATCCTGACATGCTGTCTCTGCAGTCAGTGAAAGACCACCAAAGAAAGAAGAGGTCATTCCTGTAGCAAATTCTACAGGAGCACATGCTCTGGTTTCCAGATCCCACATATGGCCAATGTAGGGTGCATAGCACTCAGCGTGACTGTGCTGCTGTTGTGGGTGGCCAAGTGGCTGTGTGTTCTGTTGGGTTTTTTTAATTTCATCTTTGTTTTGCAGAAATTCATTTAAATGCTGACAAAAGTGCCTGGAGACATGGGAATGTGCTTTAGACAAATGCTGTAAGAAGTGTAGTGTCCAAGTAAGCTGTAGCATGCAGACTTGCAAATGCTTTTGTTGGCTTTCTTCCAGAAGGATACAGCAGTTATCATATTCCTAGGAACTATACCCTCTTTGTTTTCCTCTGTTGCTTGAAGAAAGAGTAATTTTTACTACAATTGCAGTGAGTTTAAATAATGACATCTGTATGCTGAAATTTGCTTCTTGCCCTGTTTCTATTTTTGAAGTTCTTAAGATAACATTTGATTACAGAGGAAAGCTGCAGTAATGGAAGAAATTATGAATTCAACATGTTATGGTGACTTTCCAACACCATGTTGCTATTTTGATAATAATACAAAAGAAGCTCACCAAAGGTAATTTTCTTAGGCTGGAGAAAACAAGTTAAAGCAGGGGATGTGAAGAACTGGGGTTGTACAGGTGAATCAAAAGACACTTGAGAAGTGATTTTAATTCTGTGTATGAGGGGAGCAGAAAGTTATTGCAGGGCTTTTTAATCATAGAATCATAGAATTTTAGGGCATGGAATGGACCTTACAGGTCATCTAGTCCCACCCTCCCTGCCATGGGCAAAACACCTCACTAGATCAGGTTGCTCAAGGCCTCATCCAGCCTGATCTTGAACATCGCTAGGGTTGGGGCAGCTACCACATCCCTGGGCAACTTGTTCCAGTGTCTCACCACCCTCACAGGAAAAAACCTTTTTCTAATATCTAACCTTAACTTCCCCTCCTTCAATTTGAACCCATTGCCCCTTGTCCTATCATTGTATTTCCTAACAAAGAGTCCCTCTCCAACTCCTTGTAGGTCCTTCAGATATTGAAAAGTTGCTCTGAGGTCTCCATGCAGTCTTCTCTTCTCCAGGCTGAACAGCCCCAACTTCCTCAGCCTGTCTTCATAGGGGAGATGCTTCAGTCCTCTTATCAATTTCGTGGCCTCCTCTGGACTTGCTCAAACAGTTCCGTGTCCTTCTTATGTTGAGGACACCAGAACTGCACACAGTATTCCAGGTGGGGTCTTATGAGAGCAGAGGGGGAGAATCACTTCTTTTGACCTGTTTGCCACGCTTCTTTTGATGCAGCCCAGGATTTGATTGGCTTTCTGGGCTGCTAGTGCACACTGCTGGCTCATGGTGAGCTTCTCATCCACTGTCACTCCCAAGTCTTTCTCCTTCTTGCTGGTCTCAATTACTTCCCTACCCAACCTGTAGGTGTGCCTGGGATTACCGTGACCCAGATGTCGGGCCTTGCACTTCAATTTGTTGAACTTCATGAAGTAATCTAGTGAGACAATCTCAGAACAGCCACAGTTGAAGATTAACAAAGGTTAAAACTAAAATTAGAGACCAGGCATACTTTTTAAACAATGTTTAGTGATGATAAATATTGGGAGGAGCAACTCAAGGAAGAGAGTGATTAACTGATTATTGATTTCTTCCAAAGAATTTTGAGGTCTTTTTGGGACATGGGCCTCAGCTAAGCAGATGTGAATGGCATTAAATGGTCATGTCTTCTGATCTTCCCTTCTGGCCCTGTGAACCAGGGATGTCTGCAATGAAAATTAATGTCTTATGGTCTTCTAGGCCTCTCTTTCAATAATTCAGAAAAGAAGTTGGAGTCCATAGAAAATTGAAGCCATCTAATGTGGAGATCAGAACATTGTCCTCTGTATTAGTGCAAACAGTTAATTAAACTTCCCAACAATACCACAAAGAACAATCTCCATTCTGTTCCTTAAAGAGATGTACATACAGAGAGCAGACTTTAAGTCCTACAGAATCAGTAGCAGCTAGAGCTCATTGATTCTATACAAAGACTATGCTATACATCATACAGATACCTAATCTGTAGGCATCATACAGATACAGCTTCAGTGCTGACCTGCAAGTTTCCCAGGCTGGCATGAGTTCCCTGCCCACAGTTTATCAGGTTGATAGATGCTTAGGAGTACATGAACTTTAAGAAGCTGAGGTTGTCCTCCAAGTTATAAGGTCATGTTTTTTGACGCACTGTAGAGACTTCCTTCTATCTCCTTTGAGACTTGCAGCAAAGATAGCACTTGGCAGCCTGAAGAGGACAGATTACTGACCATGCAATCCACCAGTTCTCTTATATTAAACCTGTTTGGTTTTATATGGTAAATACTGACTGCCACAAATTGGGACTGCTTTTCTCCACTGGGAAGGAGGAAATGTTTTGCATAATTGAAATACTTTTTAGTAGACAAGGAGAGTTCAAGATCCATTTCAAGGTCACATGCACCCAAAGTATACAGAGTCCTCGGCTTGAAATAACGCCTTTTCAAAACAAGCAGACTAAGGTTGTTTCAGTTGTGATCACCATGCTCAGGCTCATAATAATCAAAGTCTGTTATCTGGATCCCTGCAATAATATGACTCACCCAGTAATGACAACAGTGTCTAACACATGCCTCTGTTGCTGCTTTTTAAGATATGGAAACCAGGAACCTCCAGTGCAACTTAATCTTCAACATTTTTCCCCATTTTTCCCCATTCATCTACAGAATGATTCTTAAAATACAATATCTTCTGACAATGAAAAGTGGAAGATATCTCTTGGTTATTATATACTAGTTTCTTGTAATATAAAGTTGCCCAAGGGCCCCTAAAATACAATAAGAGAGTTGCACATGTCTGATGAAATGTTTGGTGTCCCCACAACTAAGAACAAAGCATGATCATTTAAAAAGAAAAGCTAACAACAATGGAAAATAAAAGTCACATATAAAGGTTTTCAACTAGGATTTGCTTGTTTGCAGAAAAACAATGTGCCCTATGGGTAAAGAAAGGAGATAAGTGAGTTTCCCAAACTTTGTTCTGTGTTTCCAGATTGTGCTCATATCCCTTCCTGTTCACAGCCTGCTTTCCACAGTCCTCTGGTTCTGAGCACTGGTGGGTACTTTAAAATGGCCTCAGATTTGGCAGGTGTTGTATGTGTAGGAGAAGCCAGCTGATTTTGTGGATGATCCAGTAGTAGCAGTGATGGTGCTGGTGCCATCCTTCTGCTGTAGAACACCAATCTGATTGTGCTGTTTTTTTTCTCCACTCCCAAAGGTCGCCACTGCGAGGTCCATCAGATGACTGGAAACTACATGTGGGACCAGAAGGCAAATGTGTCTTTTGATATTGGTGTGAATAAAGAAAGCCTGCTGCCTCTCTGGTGGAATGGATCAGAGCCTTTGTGGGTCACCATGATGAAAGCAAAAAAGAATGTTTCCATGTACTACTGGCCAGGTTAGTATGTCAAAAATTGCTACCATCTTTACAGTGCATCTTTGTGTCTAAGCACTCCATATGCTGTAGGAACAGCTCTCTAATGCAGTTCTGAAATACAGACAGGAATTTTGAGTGCTTTACTAACCACTCATAGATAATTTGCATATGCTTAGGAATGAAAAGACTGAAGTGTCACTGGAGGCAGCTTTCCACCAAACATTACCTTCAAGGAACATTCCTCTTGCCCACCCATAGCTTCTGTTGTGCTGAATGCTTGCTCCACGAATGGTTCATGGTCCAATCAAAGTTAAACAGTAACCAACCTCCCCCAGTGCTTCTTTGTTTTTAATCTGGAAATTAGTAGCTGAGAGCTGAAAATTATCTGCTTTGTTGGGACAACAAAATCCAGCTGAAAGCAAAGCATCCTTGTCCTCTTGCCCTCCATTGTTAACTCAGCTGTGGTCCCAGTTGCTCTGAGTCTAGGCCATTCATATGGAGGGCTTTGGCCTTTCTGTTCCTCATTCCTTGGATGTAGGACCAATGAAGTGACTAGGCATGTATAATAAGAAGTCCTTTCTAACAAACACAAGTATACCCTTAGGCTGTCCATTTTGGGACCCACATAGAAATAAATGTTCCACCTGTGCAACCAGACCAAATCCCTTGCAAAGTACCCAGATTCTCTACTTTTTAACCTTTTAACTTTGCTGCCCATATGAAGCAGTGTGCAGATATCCTCATCTGTGTAGGTGCAGGCTAGAGGACCACAGAGCTGTTGGAAGAGCTGTGCTGAATACAGTGCCAGCAGGGCAGAGGCAGCTGACTCACGCTGCAGGCTCCCAGCCAGCTTGTCTCTGCATCCCAGTGCACACGTGCCCGGCCAGGGTCTTTCCATGCAATGTGGCTAATGGAGTCCCAGAAAAAAGCTCACAGTTCTAAGGCAAGGGAAGAAAGAGCGAACCAGGATGAATAATGTTGAAAAGCCATCCAGAGTGTTTCCACGGTACTGAAGAGCAAAGAGATCTGAGGGTGACAGTATTGCCTTATGGGCTCAAAAGCAGTCAAAAGGGACTGGAATTGCAGACTAATTATAATGGTTTGGATTAGACCTCAAAAAATGCTTCTTCACATGGAAGATCATCCAAGTGATCTAAGAGCAGTGCAAATAGTAGGATATAGAAATTATACAAGAATGTAGGAATTCTTCTAAAAATTTTCAAAAAGACCTGTTTCAATAGACTATTCATTTTTAACTGCTAATGTAATTGCATTGAATAGGTGTAATTATGTACTGAATATATGTAACGGTCTACAGAGAAGTACGGAAATCCAAAAAAGCACTATCATTTTCCATTAAATGCCTTTGAACTTTACCTAGCTCCTTCATGTTGCCCTTTGAGCAGTGTTTCCCAGGGAGAAGACACATGAGGTGTATATGTATGTATTTCTGTATATATATGTATACCCTTCACTCTTCTCTGCCTGCTATTTCCAGTGGAAATTTGCAAGGAATAATAGAGCCTCCCTTTTCCCAATGGTTATGCTGCCAAGTGTATGCACTGACTCTCTTATGACACAGAGGGGGAATTTTTTGTGTGGATCTGGTGTTTTAACTGTGGACTGTGACATGTACATCTGTCTGTCCTTGATTATTTATCGGTGACAGGTGACCTCTGGCAAAGCCATCAGTGCCTCAGTTCAGCAAACGTTTAAGCACATGCTTCTTTTAAGGGTGTTCATGGTCTCAAAGGACACGTTGACCATACAGGGGCAGGCACAGGGCAGGTAGTGAGGTGAAACGCGGAACTATTGAACTAAACCACAGAGCACTTGGGCTGCAATAGGACTCTGGGTGTAAGTGGGATAAACAGAAGTCACTCCAAATGCAATAGTATTTATTACATTTTCCCTATATGATTTTTAAGCTGTTTTTCTAGTTTCGTGGTATGGACAAAATCCTTCAAAAAAATTCTAGATCTATCATTTTAAAGCTTTAATTCTTAACAAGGTATTTGACTGGGGAGTGATACCAAACGAAAGGAAAATAAAAAAAGATTTAATAACCAAGGTGGGTAGAGGCCCCACAGACATTTGCACTGCACATGATCTGCTATTAGTGATTAGCTTTCCAGCCTGAGGATATACTGCTGCTTAGTAATCAATCTTGCAAATATGGTAAAGATCCAAACAGGAAAACTTTGGGAAACTCTTAATAGGAACAGCAATATACGACCAAATTCATCACACTTTGTTCTGGAAGATGCTATTTTCTTTGCAGCCATCAGTGAAGACAAACGAGATCAATCCAACAGCAGAAATGTGTTGTGAATGCCAGTGAGCTGATTCCCAGGATTGGCTTGCACCTCTGGCATTTCCTCCTCAGAGCCAGTTTCAGGCTTTGCAAAGTCTGACCCACAAATCTGCCACTTTGTATTCTTCCCTACGTTCCTCTCATGCATAGTCAGTGCTTGAAGAAAATCCAGACCGCATCAAACAGGAACTCAGAGCAGGAGGGCTGTTGGATGCAAATAACCATCTATCACAGCTTTATCTGTGAGCCTAACATAAACACAGCAAAGACAACTCACAGGCAGAATTCATCTGGGTTCTCCTGACTCTAGAAATGGAGCAGCCAAAATTTCACCACGCCAGGGCTCCAACCACCACTTCTTCCAAAATACAGACTTTGACTTGTAGGAACATTTTTCTCCTTTCTTCATGCCATATGTGGGGTGAAATGTGCAGCCTCACTCCCAGGTGCCTGTCTGAAGCACTGCTGCTCCAGAGGACTGCAAGAGCATCCCAGCAGTCACAGTCAAAGCTTTGGAGTGGTCCTCACTCTCAGCCCAAACTCCTTCATTTTCCAGCTGCCTATGCAACTACTTCAGCTGAAGTGCAGTGACATCTTATCTAAACACTGAAGTGAGAGAAAAAGGGGGGAAAAAAAGACTCTAAACTCAACTTTTGTCATTTAAACACAACATTTACCAGACCACAGAGCTAGTCTGGAAAGTTTTCTAAACCTTCTGTTATGACATGAAGTGTCCAGCTCTTGAATAAATGTTTAGAAATGCAATTTAAAGCTGGCAGAGGTTCAGGTCTCCATGTCAGATAGATAAAGAGAAGCTTATATATCACTATGTAAGAAGTCCTTATTCCTGCTCCAGTAGTTCAGGATTTTAAATAAAGGTTTATCATCATACAAAACTGTGCAGAAAGGTATCTAACATTGAATCTTAGTAAATACAGCTTAACTATTTGTAGTTTAACCAAGAAAATCTTAACATACCCTTCGTCTGGCTCCAAACCTGTTTAGATTTCCTTTCCTATGATTTAAACAAGAAAAATATACCATCTGTCCTATCCTCTACCAAAGTGAAATTTAAATATTAAAGGGTCTTCATGGCCAGTATTTTGGAATTGTAACAAGCCTTAACATCAGAAATCCAATTTGAAGTTCTGTTCACCACAGAGGCTAAAAAAATAGAGAAAAAGGAAGCTCTTGGTATCTGAGTACCTGCCAAAGAACTGCACACTTGAAGACCAGTATTTAGGGGCCAAAAGTTTTCTAATTGTTGCTGCCTCTATAGTCTTTTATGTCATGCTCATCACTTGACAATCTAGAAATAGCAAAGATATCTCAACAATTAAAATATTCCAGTTCCCCAAGAGATAAATGCTTCCAGTTAAAATCACCTTGTGAGTAATTCTGAGGAATGTTATCTGGGAAAATGACAAAGTGATGTCAGTATCTGAAGAAGAAAAAAGAGGCAAAATTGTATTAGTTATTGGCTATGTGCAGTCACCCACTTGAACTGAAATACTCAACATTTCCAACGTCTTTCCAAATGTATCCTTAACTTCTTGTCTGGCTTTGGAGCTAATCTTTTCCCAGACTCAAGTATCAGAGGACAAATTGGCTCCAAAGTTTCAGTTCAGTCCTGAAATATTATCAAAGCCCACAGAGAATTATTCCATCACCTCTGGTGTCTGAGGTAGCTGAAAACCCATGTTTTGCTGCTGGTGGCACCCAGGACATCTTTCAAAAGAGTGAAGCTGCATGGCCTCAGGGCAGGGGGCTTCCAGGATATGACTTCAGGCCATTTCAGGAATATATTTCTGATGGTTTGGTTAGGTAGCAGCTGGGACCTGTCTCTGTTGCACAACTTAATTTTTTGAAGGTGCTGCATGCAGATGTATAGAAGTTTTACTGTGAGATGGTCTAGAGAGTCAGTTCTCGTCAAGTGATCTGCAGGCTGGTCATCCAGGTTGCAGGTTACTTTTGTGGTGGAGAGATAAACACTAAAGTATCTTCATGAAGAAAGGGGAGGATTAAGTTGTGCAGGTTTAAACAGGAGAAGAACAAAAAGTAAACACCACCACACAATCCCACAACTTTAATAGAAATAAAAATTAAAGAGGTTCAAAATTATACAAGTATGTTTTTACAGCAAAGTGAATTAATTGACTACATTATACGTTTATTATTACAAATAATTAATCATATTAGATGGGGTCCCTAGAAACAAGCTAAGTGTGAGGAGACCTGGGAGCTGCTACCACAGGAGAAGAGACTGAATCTGCCATGTGTGCTAGGGCTCTAACCCTTGGAAAAGGTAATTTCCCTCTGACTTATCTGGCTTTCTGAAAATCAGTGAAGACTTTAACAAAAATTTCCTAAGATTAAATATTATTTTTTAAAAAACCTTTCACGATATTCCTGACCAGCTGCAAGCAGAATTGCCTTAGCCAGCCTAGCCTGCAAGTGGTGTGCTTTTCCCTGTGCCCCAGTACTGCACCTGGGCGATGTGAGCTCATGTGGGCAGAGATGCAAAACACTGACAAATTCTCTTTACTGAGCAGCCCAGTAAGCAAACCACTGTAAATCATCTCTGATAGTAGCTCTTCTTGCTCTAGTGCCCTCTCTGAACTTACTTATGCCCCCTATGCAACCTTCTCCCACCCCAAGCGAGTCAATTTATGACAGTCCTAACGCCTGTTCCTTTAATGCCAGAGGAGAAGCAGAGGGACCCAGACGTAGACATATTCAGGCTGTGGCTTAGAGTTGTCTTTTTGATCTAACTGTGCTGCTGTATACAGACACCATTTTGCAAAATATCTCTTTTTTTTTTATTTTTCTCCTCATGCCTCAGGAATACACCAGAAAATGCCTAACTGTGATGGGAGGACTTTGTGGGTCTGGAATGTTAATTTGCATGATTCCAGTGTTTCTGAAAGCATGCTTCTTTTAAATATTAATGTCATTCAGCAGTATAGTAACTGGAGAGCAAAAGGGCAAAGAAAACTCACAAAAACATGTTTTTCTGTGCTCAGGGCCATGTTCTCTTGTAGGATTTGTTGCCATAAATTTTTAGGCCACAAAACAGACTGTATTTTGCAAGGAAGGCTGAAAGTTACCAAGAGAGTTAATTGGTTTATACTGTTTTAATAAGACCTCCTGGGAAACGGATTTAATAGTGGAGTGCCAGTATCACATAATAAAATACAGTTTATAGAGGATATTATGACGCAAGATACAGCATGTCTAACTGAAAAGTATTTGCTGAACTTTCAGGGAACAATATCTAAATCTATTATGTTGGAAGCCTGGAAATGAGGCTATGTGGCCCTAGTAGTTAAAAATGAAAACAAGCTAGCAATTTAGGTGGAAACAGTCTGCCACAAGGGAACCGAGAGTTTTACTGGGAGAAGGTCACACAGAGACCTTTCTTTTAGAGCAGGAAATAAAAGAATCCAATGTGCAGTGAAACCAACCTCTCTCCCCTTTTCCCTTCCCAACCACACAGTTTACTGCAGGGAAGCTGCAAGGTAAGTAATATCACAGGGAATTTACAAACCTGAACTTGGACCCCACGGTGTGGGGTCTATGATCAAGGTGAAACAGCAGAGCTTACTACATTTTTCGCTTGTAGGTTGCGAGGTCGAAATCCTTGGAGTCAGACCAAGTTACTGCCGTGAATACTTCAGTGTCCCGACAGACAAAAACTTTGAGGATGCCATCAGCGATGCCCTTGAGTCTTTGTGGTACGTCACTAGATTTCTGTGGCATGGGGTTTCCTCTCTCAAGGACGAGTACTGGGGTTTACTATCAGGCAGATTTTCAGAACTGGCTCCCAAGTAGTTGCCATATAGTACTGTCAGAGAAACAACACCAGGACAGAAATAGGCCCTTACATTAATATAGGAGGGAAAGATGTGCTCCTCTCTTCATGTGCTTGTTACAAGACAGAGGAGACATCCTGACTTACTACTTTTAATTTGCTGTTTCAAAAGACTTCGTGATGAGTCTGCGACTGTGTCTGTTCACTGGCCTGCAAGAGCAGACTTTGAAATGCTTGGATTTAGAGAGAGCTCCTGGGAACTTGGAAATTCTGAAGTTCAGCACTGGTCACTTGTTTACGAGACTGATGCTTTGGCTTCTTCTGCATTTTAGAACATCTTAGGCACAATAATTTTGGAGCGGGTGCTCATTCTGTGGAACTATGAGTACAGAATAGGCTAGTTCAATTGGAAGAGACCTACAATGATGGCCTAGCCCAACTGATGGGAATGTATCTCTTAGACAACTCCTAGGGAAAAAATATGCTCCATACCTACCTTCCAAGTTCCACCATATCTCATCCAAACATTTACAAGGGACAGTTCCACACTGGCTGTAAAATCAGGGAAGATTGTATCCCCACGTGTAGAGCCAATGCCTTACCTTAGCTATAACTAAGCTTCCCCTTGTAAAACTTTGTTGGCTCCATAATTTATCCAATCCTAGGATACACTTCTACTTTACTACTTGCAAACTGCCACTGTGATTTGAACCTGAAACGTTTCGTATTCAGACAATGAGTGTTGATTGTTCTTGAAATAAAGGCTCCAGAATGATGAGAGTACGGCTGGAGATGTTGCTCCCAGTTGCACACTGGGTCCTGCTGCACAGATGCTCACAAATCACAGTGTCATTTTCAGCATGGGGCTTAGGCAGAAGCTGTCTGAGACCATGTGAGATGTTTTATGCTGAAATTATTTAGCTTAGATTTACAGAAAGTTATCTGCATGTGACATGAGGAGGTCATACGTGGCATAGGAGGATTTCTGGAGCTCTGTAATGCTTTTAATTCTGTGAATAAATATGGGAGCGGAAAACTGAATACAGACAGCAGCTCTTACTTCTGGTGGAAACCCAGAATTATCATAAAAGTCTTTTTGGTCTGGTATTACTTGGAGATGGGTCAAGATATACTTGAACCTTCCTGCCTGGTTTCTATGAAGCACAGTGCATAAGACTGCTCAGGATGGTTTACAGCTTTGTAATTGTGAACATGGTTAAAAGTGAGGCACAAACTGTTAAAAGCTCCAGCCTTTTGAGCTGTTCTTTTGGGTAGTTGGAGCCCATCAAAAATATTTCAATAGCTAATTCACCCCAAGCCACAAGGCTGCCTGCTGCTGTCTTAGGTGGAAAAGTAAAAAAAGGGTAAGGACACAACAGTGTTGGTAGGACAGCTCACAAGAGGTGAAAGGTGATGATTTCAAGGAAAGATCTAATCCCTGCCATCATGATATTTTCCATAAATACCAGCTACAGCCTGCTGAAGTGCCAAATCCTACAGATCATCAGGAGTTACAGGAGGTCCTGTCTCTGGTGTCCATTTACACACCATCCCTATTGAATTGTGCCCAAGTTACTTTTCTTTAAACTACATGCCCTGTCTCCAAGCAAGGCAGGAAAGAGGAAAAAGGAATCATAGATTCATAGAATTTAAGGGTTGGAATGTACCTTACAGATCATCTAGTCCCAGTCCTCCCTGCCATGGACAGGGACACCTCCTCACTAGATCAGGTTGCTCAAGGCCTCATCCAGCCTGGTTGGGGCAGCCGCCACGCCCCTGGGCAACTGTTCCAATGTCTCACCACCCTTATAGTAGAAAACCTTTTCCTCACATATAACCTAGAATTTTCCCTCCTTCAGTTTGAACCCATTACCCCTTGTCCTATCATTGCAGTTCCTAACAAAGAGTCCCTCTCCAACTCCTTGTAGGTCCTTCAGATATTGAAAAGTTGCTCTGAGGTCTCCATGCAGTCTTCTCTTCTCCAGGCTGAACAGCCCCAACTTCCTCAGCCTGTCTTCATAGGGGAGATGCTCCAGTCCTCTTATCAACTTCGTGGCCTCCTCTGGACTTGTTCCAACAGTTTCGCGTCCTTCTTATGTTGAGGACACCAGAACTGCAGGCAGTATTCCAGGTGGGGCCTCACGAGAACAGAGTAGAGGGGAAGAATCACTTCTTTTGACCTGTTTGCCACGCTTCTTTTGATGCAGCCCGGGATTTGTTTGGCTTTCTGGGCTGCTAGCACACACTGCTGGCTCATGGTGAGCTTCTCATCCAAAATGAATGATCATAGATGAAATTAATAATCAGTTGTGGGTGTAAATACTGCGAGGACTTACCATAAGAAGGGAGGGTAGAGAATGAACAGATTGAAAATCAGGTAGGTTTTACTTATTCTTTCTCTTATTCTTCATCTTTGTTTATTCCTTCAAAATTTAAAAAAACCCCCACATTCCATGCTGCTGGGCCAGGCCATAAGTAAAGCCTCTTAAATGCCTTTACTATAGGCATATTCATTTAGCAGGAATTAGCATCTCTAGGTAGAAGAGTCTTGAGCATGTCATTACATCTTTTGCAAGTGGTTTTGGCTCTTGAAGCTGTTCAAAGGCTGGCAAATCCAGTGTGTTTCCTTTCCACACCCCAAGTAATTGGAAAAACCCATTAGGCTGAGACTGGCATTTAGCTATATGTGGGAAAACAGCCTGTGGCAAAGGTAGTCTCTTGCCTGGAGCAGTGCCATGCTCAGCTGCCCTAGTGGCAGGTATTAGTAGTTAATGAACTGCACTTAGGCTCCCACCACTAGCAAACCTTACAGGGACTCTAGGGTAGAGAGAGTAAGCCCTTTATTGCAGCATGGTGGCCTAGGGGTTAACTTGGGTTTGAACACAGGAACATCCTGACCCATCTTAACTTCACCAAAGTTGAACATTTATGAAAATTATATCAATGTCCTATGCAAGGGCAGAAGTACCTAACTCACCAGGGAGCCACTGAGATTCTCTTGCAACCAAAGGAATATTCTCCATCCTTCAAGAATATTCCCCAGTCTCTTCTAACAGGTGCTTCAAGACAACTATTTGGACTAAAAATATTCAAAACTAAGTCAAGCATTCATTTTTGTCAAGTAAAACTAAAACCTTCTTTATGTCTTTTCCATAGCTATAACTTAGAGGCTGTTGTAATCTACCTACCTTCCTGGACAGGTGTCACTGAGTTGCACAGTACTTGCAAAGTGTGTTGGTAAAATATAAAACCCCTCTCAGTATTGCCAGCAATGCCATCCAACTTTTCTTAGCAAGTTTTCCATAGTAATTTATTTGGAAGGTTACTGGTGATGGAAGTAGATGGGACTAACACACAGTTAGAAAGGAATTACCTCTCCCATGCAAGCCATGACCACAGATGCCTGGTTTTCTTGAAAAAATAGGCAAAAAAGTGGAAATAAAGTCAGACTCAGTTTTAGAAGCTCTGGTTGAGTTGCACCAAATCATGCAAACTCCTAAGCATGCCACATAACTGGAGCTTATTGAAACCCACTGAAGTCATTGAATGTTCATCCTTAGAGCCCTGAGCCTTCACGAAGAAACCTCACCACAGCCTAAATAAGATCACTTGTTTTATGCAATAAATCTCTTTCTTAACTTCTATCTTGATCAAAAGGATCATTTAGTTACAGGTGAGAAGACAAAAAGCAGTCCAAGTAGCTCATTAATACAGGCACTGCAGCAAAACAAAACTATTTCAGTAGGTTCAATGAGTGTGTATGCAATAGAGAAATTACAGGGTTAAATTTTGGAAATTATTTTATGTCTAATACAGATGGAAAGTAATGCTTAAAATGAAATGTGGGAGAGATGCTTCATTTGAATGATTTTAAAATCTTGAAGAGTGAGAAACAACACTGTTCTGCAGGGCCAGTAGTGGAGAAATTCCCACCAGAGCAGAAACCTTCATCTTCCTATGGGACTTCCTCTGAAGCCTTTTGAAAACTGAGAAATGCAAATACATTCATTCAGTCCCTCACCTCTGATTTTTCCTCTTCTGTCTCACTCATTACACCAGACTGCCCGAGTGTCTTTAATCAGAGAAGCTGGACCTGTCAGGACATCACACAAAGTCTTTTTTTTAGGGATCTTGATCTGGATGAGGGCATGTATTATGGATGGCACACTCTGTCATATTTTAAATACAGCAGAAAAAGACTTGAGTTTGAACTTCACGAGCACAGGTTTGTGATTTTATCTACACAACTGCTCTCAGGGAGATTTCCAGTGAGCAGTAAAGTAATCATGAAAATGTAATTAAGCACTGATGTATGCGCCATCCCCACTAATTAGGCTGAGGGCAGTCAGTGCAGAAACGTGTGATCAGCTAAACTTGTGCAACTCTGAGATTACCTTAGTTTCCCTTTGGTCATATTCCTGAGTAAAAATGCCATCTAAAATCTCATCCCAATTCATATTGCTTGGGATTTTGTAAGGAATATCCTGAGTTGACCTCGGTGGTTTGGAAGACCTCACACAGAAGAAAGCCAGAAGTGCCAAACTTTAATTAACACACATTTGACTGATAATTTTCACAATCTTTTTAATAAGGACATTCAGCACAGAAACCAGTATTTCTTTGTCATTAAAGGGAAAGCTTCCTTCCTAATTCAAAGAGGTAGTAGAGGGCTGCCAGGCCAGCCTGTGCTTGCACATGTCAGTCTCTACCTGCTGCCTCTGATGGGAGTCTCAGGCAGACTCAGAAGACTCTGAGTGTGAATAACGAGCCCAGCTGTGTAACAGTGGGTAGGACAGCACAGGCTACAAGCAGAAACTGGGGTTTTGTGGGTCTATATGCCAGTGAAGACACTAATGGGTGTCAGCTTCTCCTTCCTTCCCCTGCTTTTTACCTCCAGCAACAACAGTGCTGAGATGGCCGCGGTGTACTATGAGCGCATTGATGTGGAAGGTCACCACTACGGCCCTTTGTCCCAGCAGCGGAAGAACGCTTTGAAGGAGGTGGACAAAGCCTTGAGCAACATGATCTCGCTCATCAAGGTGAGTGGCATCTGAAAACCCAGCTCCTGGGTGTCTTTGGAACAGGCTTTTAAACTGCTCTTTGTGGCACTGCCAAGAGCCTATTTAATGCCTGTTAACTGAATGCAGTGGCTGTAAACTTTTATTTCCTGAGAAACAGGCTACTGAGATCATGTGGGAGTCAAGGCACCATTTCACTGATTATTGTTTTCATTGATGGCACTATAACCCTCCTAGTGGATTTATACCAATAGCCCTGGGAAACCACAAACCAATATACTTGTTGCTCTGTTTATAACTTGTGTTGCCAGCTGAACTTTATTGTAGGCGAATGAATCAAAACCACGTGCTTCCTAAGGTTTGTGGAATCAGACGATTAACTTTTATAGTGTTTTTTATGGCACTGTTCAGAACTCTTTACTTTAAACTTGGTTTTAAAAAAAACATTATCTAAATGTTTTTTCAGTGAGAAAAAGAAGATACCAAGCTTTAGGGTAAATGGCAATTCTGTGCATATTTACGACAATGATAAAGGCATGTTGGAGTTTTTTCATGTGTTTCAGTGAGAAGAATCATAGAATCATAGAATTTAAGGGTTGGAATGGACATTGCAGATTATCTAGTCCCAACTCCCCCCTGCCATGGCCAGGGACACCTCCTCACTAGATCTCAAGAAGCTCAAGGCCTCATCCAGCCTGGTCTTGAACACTGTCAGGGTTGGGGCAGCCACCACATCCCTGGACAACTTGTTTCAGTGTCTCACCACTCTTACAGTAAAAACTTTTTTTCTAATATCTAACCTAAGAGGAATATGTATCTCCAATTTCACTAAATTACAAAAGCACGAATGCTAAGTGCTTGTGTTCGGGAGGGGAAGAGAGAAACAGTCCTGCCACGGGTAGCATCATAGCAAAGTTGCTCTTCCTCGATTGTTTTGTCCTATAGGTGAAGAACAGTTGGATAAAATTCTGTCTAAGACCAACTGGGACAACTGGTTTGCTGCATTTGGGATGCAGCTTCTGGTTATTGAGCAGGGAAGTGGATTTATTTTGTAAAAACTTTATTTGGTGCTAACCTCTCAGACTCTTCCAGAGCAGCAAGTGAGAGTGGATGTTCACCATTATGGGTGGTGGCAAAGCACATTGCAGGGCATTTGTGGATGTGCTCTTCTGGCCAACTTCCACTGAACAGGTGGAGATCAAATGGGATTTTCCAGTGGGCACAGACAGCACAAAGCTCTTACCCATCTGTTACTGCTGTCATGCACTCGCTTCACAGAGTAAAGGCCTTCAGAATGATGTCAATGTCCTGCTCTTCTCTGATCATGGGATGACAGACATCTCTTGGGCAGACAAAGTGATTGAGCTGAAAAACTATATCAATATGAGCGATACCATACAAATGAAGGACCGAGGTCCCGTTGTGAGCCTCTGGCCAGCTCCAGAGAAGCATGCAGAGGTAAGTACAGTTTAGTTGTACTTACTTAGTTTTGTGCTTCCTCAAGTTTTATGCCAATTGTGTCTTCTGTTTTCTCATAACATCCACAACCTGTTCTCAGATGTATGTGTCAATATCAGGCCAAGGCTCTTATCAGAAGTCAGACTTGGATTCTGTGACACTCCTGTGATGCTGGTTTCTGAAGGAAAGTCACACCAGGCAAATGAAAAAGCATGACCTTTCACCATTATTTGACACAAACACATGCTTTCATAGAATCATAGAATCAACCAGGTTGGAGGAGACCTCAAAGATCATTGAGTCCAACCCTACTGCCGTAACTAGCCAATGGCACTAAGTGCCACATCCAGTCTTGTTTTGAAAACCTCCAGGGATGGTGAATCCACCACCTCCCCAGGAAGCCCATTCCAGTTGGATAACTTGGCAGGTTTAGGCAAAGCCCATTTCAAACCCCACCATCATGTGCTCTGATAAAGAGATGAAAGATTTTAGCTTAAAATACATTTTTTTTCCAGCTGGAATTTCCAAATGATCTGGAGCAGGTCAGGCACGCATATTCCAGTAAACTTCCATAGAATTAGAGGAATGAATTCCATTAGATCAGAATTGCAAAAAAAATTTTTCTACAATATTTTCCTTTGAAGAATTTTTGATGAATAAGCATGTTGGATTGAATCAACCATAAAAGCCCAAGGCCAGAACTGCAGGATTTTGAGGGACAAATTAAAACAATAGAGAAAAAAATTTGGAAATCACTTCAAGAGAAATAAAATGCAGCATCTGTTACTAATAGACTAGTACCTTATAGCCTAACCAGAAACCAGTGCTTCAGAAGTCATTATTACTGTCCTCAGAATACAGATGAGTGGATGTCCAGGGTGTGCCCCAGGTGAATAATTTTATTTTCTATATTATATTTTGGACAGTTCCAGTATATTGTAGCTTGTGCAATATATTTTTAATGGAATATTTGCTAATTTTTGCACCGAAACAAGCTCTCCAGGAATTATATAGTCATGATATTGTGAAAACTTCAAATTCATGCCAGAGTTGAAAGTTGTCTTAGAGGCATGAAAAAGCAATTTGCTCAAAGTGCATCACAGAGGATCACAGCACTGAAATACACGCTCCTCAGTCTTAACACAGAGCTCCCTAGTTTTGTAGGCCAGACCTTCATATGTGGGCAAGTTGTGGTTTCACACAGACATGGGGTTTCATCCAGCAAAACTCTTCAACACATGCTTCTCTCTCATTTAACAGCCTAATATCCCTAAGAAGAATAAAGTACAATGCCTTACACTATGGTTTTGGTTTTTTCCTTCATTTCTTTTTAGAACTTCTTACTAGACTGCTGCTTTTTACAGGAAATAAAGTTGATTTTCAGTTTCCCAATAGGTAGATTTCTCTATTCTTAATTCACATTAAAGAGCCATGTTTAGGAATTAGAGTGTATCATAACACAGTGTTTATCACCTTTAAATATTATCCCATTTTGAAGCACCAGAAGTACTGGTGAAACACCAGGACCACTCTCTAGTCCAGGTCATGGTGGGAAGGTCTGGCTGAACTGCACCATCACACCCTGGTGCTGTTCCTATAGTCGCTACATGTCAGTGCACATCTCTGGCACACGCATACACACATCAGGGTGACGTAGTTAAAATGCTACTGAAGAACCTTTCATTCTTTGCAGAACTGAGCTATTTATTCCTGAAGATTATTTCTATTTAAGCAAAAGAACAATATGGAGTCTGGGGACTCCAATAATTGCTTTGTTTATGGCACATGAACATCTTCAATAATGTAAAATATTTTTTGAATAATCTAGGGTTTAACCACTTCTGTGGGATTATATTCCAGAGAGTATGATTGATATTAATAAACCACTTGTACAGCATTGTGCAGCTTCAAACTGTAGGCATTGGCTAATTAATCTCACGACATCCTTATGAAGCAGATAACTAAGCACTGTCAATCCCCTTGATAGGGATTGACTGGCTAAGTGTAAGAAACACAGGTGAGGTGACATTAATTGTTTCACTCAAGAGCACAAAGAGGGAATGAGTGGCAGAGGCTAAAGACAATATCCTTTTTTCACATCTATACACAGTCCACATGGTGCCTTTAAGCATCTTTCCCCACTTTGTTTACTGCCTCCTGTGAAGGTCTGGTTTCTCCTGTCTGTTTCTGTGGGCTGGTATACTCACATGCATACATTCGTGACTGAGTGTATTATAAATATAGATAATACATGAATTCGTGTGTGCCTATGTGTTTACAATCCAAGTTTTCAGAATCTCCTAAACCACATAAGCAGGTTTTGCACAAACATCCTCTTTGGACAGGCAAAGTCCCAGTCTGAATGAGCTGATGATTAGCCATTAAAGGGGACTAGCCATTTTACCAGTTCAGGTGTTTCCATAGGTGCATATATGCCCTTTACAGCCATATGGTGTACTAACATTTGTTTTCTTTGCAGATATATCAAAAACTGAAAGCTGTGGAGCACATGGATGTTTATAACATACAGGACATTCCTAACAGATTTTACTACAAAAAAGGAAAATTTGTGTCTCCACTAACTCTCGTGGCTGAGGAAGGATGGTTCATAGTAGAGGTAAAGTAAAGAAACAAAACACTTAGACATGAATGTGAAATGGTGCAATATATGAAAACAGTGAGAAAATTGTACAATACTCTGCTGATCATTGAGTTAAAGTCAAAGGGCTGACTGCAAAACTGATCTCAAATGTTACCATGTGCTTAAAAGAGCTTAAAGATATCACAGCTATGCTGAAGGTAGACAGTTAAATAGTCAAGATGGTTCTTTTTTCTCTGTTGTCATAAAGGAGGAGTTCTTGTATTTCACATTCCAGTTCTGTTGCTCTACTCCTTTTCCCTGCTGCCATCTACCTTCATCTCAGACACAAATAGAGTGTTTCCATTTCAAGTCCTTACTATCCTTCCATTCAGCAGTACCTTGTGGCAACATTTCCTTCTGCCTGGCTTCCTACCCACCAGATAGTCCTATAAATGCTTTATTTCTCCCAAGCCTCCCAATGTCAGAAGGGTCAGGCCAGGGGTTTACTCCTCAAAGATGCCTAGTGCACACACTGAAACCTGAGAACTTGTTAAGTAGAGAACTGACACGTGAAGAGATTTTTCATACTAACTTATTTTCTTACTATAAATTGTTGTTATTATTTGGTACTTGTATCACTACTGAGCACCTCCACATTAAAACAATAACTGCAGCTCAGCACAGCCCAGAAGGTGAGGAAACTATATATCTTCCAAGCAGGTAAACTGAGGAGCAGTACTAAGTGATTTGCCCAAGGCCATACACTAAGGTACTAGGCTGGCAACAGAACCAAGGAGTCCTGGGTATTTTCAATGTCCTATCATAGTCATTGCACAACATTGTCTTGCAGATTATTGTAACTCAGCTAAGCATCTTCTGCCATGACCCTCACAGCTACTGCATACCAAGCTTTGCTCAAGACAGTCCACACCACCACATTTCTCACTAGCCAACCTGACTTTAGGGTAATAATTTCTACATCTGAATAAAAATGCACCTCTAAAAAAAACCCCATGGCTTTTGAATACGGATGTGTGAGCACAACGATTCTGGTTAAAAAAAGAAAATATAAAAGTCAGAGTTAAGATTTAGACACATAAAGTAGGAATCTGAAACATTTTTGCCAAAATTATTACAAAAAATTAAAACTAAATTCTTTCGTACAAAAGTTCAAAACGGAACATTTTTACATATTCTGTAGAAAACAAAAAAAAGCACTTAAAAATCATTGAAACTCTGACAAACCTTAATAACAGAGCAGCAAACACTGCTGCTATGGTAATTATTTCTGTCTCTCTGCCCATTCCTTCCCATTGTTTCTGATTTTCAAGAATGTCCTCTCATTAATGCTGTCAGATTTTCCTTCTCTTTGGTACATTTTCATTATCTGTGAATGGGATATGAAAATGAAAATTTACTGTCATATTTTTAAAGCAATAATTGAGCCTTCTATTATACTTCCTGCCCAAACCACTGAAGAGAGGATGTTCAGCTCTTCCCTGTCATGCTCATGGGATGTTTTAACTATGTGTTGGCTAGTGGATAGCTAAAAGCTGTTTGGAAAAGAGGATTTTGTTCTGTTTTGTTTTGAAAGAGACAAAGCAAATGTATCTGGAAAGTTGTTTTCCCCAACAAGGAGCATAAGAACTAAAGCCCATCTACATTTCAGTTAAAGCAGGAGGGATTTCACACACCTCCAGCTGTATTGAAGCTGATCTGCTCATATTACCTTGTTCCCTCCACATGAGTGAGTTCTCCCATCCTTTGAGCAGAATTTCCCCCAGCTGCTCTCCTGCATGCAACAATGGTGTTAGCCCTCAGGGCTGTATGCTCACTCTGCACCCATCCCAGTGTACTTTCCCAAGATTTAGGGAAGAGTTGCAGTACATATCCTAAATGTGAACATGCAAGGAAAAGTCCATTGTCAGCATTCCTAAACATGTTTGCTTCAACTTTGAGGAGCAGCACTAGCCCAGGCTTAGGCTAAGCATGAAAAATTAATGTCTCAGCTGACTCCTCTGTCCCATTTGGATTTATCAAGCAGGCACATCAGGGTGCTGCCAGCACCCTGGCCCCAAAGAAGCCTCAGGCCTTTGTGGGGCTTGCTGTAGGGCAGAGCATGATGGTTTAGAAGAGCCCTGAGATGCTTGCACAGCCCCATCCCTCAAGCTACTGCTGTCAGTGGCTCTGTTTCATGAGTTCTTACTTCAGCTGCAGTTGTGAAAGCAAGGAGTATGTTTTCTGACCCAACTAGCAGCAGCGATAATGGAAATGACTGTGCCTTTGCACATCCAGTTGTGAGTAGGTGTCTCCTGGTGTCTGGGTGGGTTATGGAAAGGCACACTACCTCCTGCATTTGACATTCCTGGGGAAGTAACTGAGTCCATAACATCTGATGGGACCATGGAAGGGTGCAGCTTCAGCAGTGTCATGATACTGCCAAAGAACCACCACAAATTTGATGTGACTTGGCTTGTCTGAAGCTGATGCTAGCAAATGCTATACAGGTTACCTGATGGTGAGCAGCACAGTTAGTCCCCAGGAAGCACAGTAAGCAGAGCCACATCACAGGGAGGTGCTACGGCAGGAAGAGGGGAAGGAGTCTATTTTCTTCTTGGCTTGCTCTGAGCGCTGTCAGGTAAAAAGATGGGGACAAGAAAATAGATTTGTCAGCTAAACTTATTTAATTTAATCTGGTACATCTGCTGGGTATTACATACAAAGAAATGCAAGGGATACTCCAGGGCTTCCCCTGGAAAGTAGTTGGAAGAGCTACACCTCTTTGTCATAACTACTGCTGTCCTCAGTGCACAGTCAATTTTCTTTCTGGAGGAGGAAGACAAAAATCAGACAAAATAAATGTTTGTAAAAGGAAAGGAATCCTCCATCAATCTGTTTCACCATCTGCAGGTGTTGTAGCACCATTTGCCCAGGGTGGGAATGTGGGAGACACTTTTGGAGCATCTTCTATGCTCCTGTGACTGAGTGTGAAGCCCAGACCTGACTGCTTTAGAGAACTGTGTAGCTCCTTCTCTGCAATCATCAGAGAAATTAATGTCAGGGGTCTGATGAACTGTCAGCTGATGTTCCATGTCTAAGTGATATTTCTGCCATAGTTTTGGGGCTGTCTGGAGTGCCACATCTACTGCCATCCCTAAGGAGCGTGGGACAGGACAAACTCATGCAGGGTTGGTCCAGGATTTTGATCAGCCCTAGGGACTGTTGCTTTGATGGATATGGCACTGTTGTAGGTAGTCTGGTAAAAGCTGCTAATAAAAAGCAGGACAAAGTAAGAAAGGAATTTAAAAGTGCAACTTAAATGCAATATGGGCAAGGAAGAACAAGATTTATAATGACAAAGAATGGATCCACTGAGCAGAGAAAGAAAACTGAGAGTGGCTTAGGCCAGGGAGAGGGGGACTCTCTTCGGTTAGAGCCTGTGTTCCCTGGAACAAACCTCATTGCTTTAATATTAAAACAAGTAGGGAGAAGAAACAATAATTACAAAGTATACAGTATGGGTGATATTTGTATTGTTTAGGCTGACTAGTCAAATGAAGCAAAAATGGCTTATTTTCCTAAGGTGCCAATGGCATGTGGGGCAGAACAACATGCCATCAAGTTCATGGCACTGGGAGGGAAAGCGATGCTGCTAGCCTGAGGAGTGGTGGGAGAGGGGCACCACCTTGCCCCGTGTCACATATGGCTGTGATACTTCGTCCTTGTGACAGAAATTTAGATGAGTTGACCTCCCCACTCAGCTGGGAGATGGCAAAACCAGGATTCAGCCCTCCTGGGGATGAGCTCCTGCGCAGCTAACAGCACCATGCAGGGGCCTGATGGGGTGGTACAGCACATGGAGACACAGCATGGCACCCCACAGCACCCTGGCACAGCCAGGAAGGCAGGCACTAACTATGCCCTGCTGTTGTCACCCAGAGCAGGGACAAGCTGCCCTTCTGGGAGAATGGGACAGGGAAGAAGGAGGCCTGGCAGAACGGCTGGCATGGCTACGACAACGAGCTCATGGACATGAGAGGCTTCTTCCTCGCATATGGACCAGGTACAGTGTCACCATCCCTGGTGTTCCACTTCCCTTGCAGCCCCAAGGTCCCTACCTCTGTATCGCTGCAGCCCCTGGCACATCAGGACCCTGATGTGGCACTCTGCGACACCCAAAAATTACAAATAGATGGCAGGATTTCCTCACTACAGAAGGTTTCTGGCTCTGTATCTGTTTCATAGCTGGAGAAACAGGGCAGAGAGATGTGAAGGGATTTGGTCTGCCTCTCTCTGATGTCCCAGCACAGTAACTCTATCCCTTTGCCCTATTTTCCTAGATTTTGGCCTAAATTTTAAATTCCGTTTGAAACACATGAATTCTCCTTTTGTTGGTGGATTCAGAATCACTAGTGCAGATCACTCTCTTTGGGAAGGTTGTACTCACCCACCTGGGCAGACACGAAACCCCTTGTTTCCACTTCATCAGGTCCTTTTAACACTGCAGAGTACCAGGCTGCAACTGCAGGCAGGAGCAAAAGCAAAGCAGAATGTGCAGTACAATTATTTCAGGCTACTAAATCTACCAAACACACACAGTAACGTAGCTCCCGTGCTTAAAAAAACCTGGGGTTTTAGTCTTTTGAATAAAATTAGAAGTAAAAATAATTAATGAAAATGTTTGCAGTGTTTTTGCTGAGCTGTGTTGTGTATTGTATAGCGTGCCACATCCCAGCCTGCTGGGTAAGTGCTGGGAGAGGCACAGGAGCTGTTGCCCCACAGCACACCACATCTCAGGGGCTGAGCCCCAAGCTGTACGATGCCAACTCCTCTCTCTTGCCTGCAGATTTCCGGTCCAACTACAGAGCACCTCCCATCAGATCCGTGGATGTTTACAACATCATGTGCAGTCTGGCAGGAGTACAGCCGCTGCCCAACAACGGCTCCTGGTCCAGGGTGGAGTGCATGCTCCGGAACACAGCCCCCGTGGCACCACTGCCCCCGCGCAGCAGCTGTGCCCTGGCGCTAGCTCTGCTCGCCCTGTTCACCACGCAGATCTCCCTACTGTGATCCCTGAACAATGTCAGTCACTGTCACCAGCAACTCCATCATTCTCTGTTTTTTTTAAAAAGTTCTTCATTTGAATAATAGCTTCATTAATAGAGTGCTGTCCCCCACTCCTCCATTGTGCTCCACCAGGCTGAATCTGACCCATCCTGCTTTTACAGCAGTTGTAACATGAAGCCAGGTTTTGTGCTGCTCCAAACACAGCCAGAGAAGTTGGTGTTGCTTCTCTAGATTTACAGGACTGACAAGGAAAGCAGAATCCTGGCAAGCTGTCTGCAAAATTTTCTGGTGGGTGCACGTGGGGATTTCTGAATATCAAACACGTCATCCCAGCGTCTTTCACCCTGGCTCCTAGTACCAGGAATCTCAGGAGTTGAGACAGACCTCTGCATTTACTGGGCTTTTCCTGATTGACTCCAGCTCCAGCTCCTTCACCAGCAGAGCCCCATCTTCCCTTTACAGTGCCAGCCAAGCCCTGTCTGTACTGACCTATTCTGCAAAGAGCCAAGCACTTTGCTGATTGACCATAATCCTCCACTTCCAAACCAGGAGGAAAGTGAAAAGACATCTGGACACACAAGGGCCAGGGGAAGGTAAGATGAGGAAGCCTGGCATTTAACAGCCTCTCTGCTTTTCCTGGTGAAAGAAATATCATCTGCTCAGGTTTTGGGGTTTTATATCCAATTGCATTTCTGAAGGTTTTTCAACACACACTGATTTTTTTACCAGCTCTTGCTCTCTACACCTCTGCCTGGTGACCAGCAAATTCCCCTTAATTCTGCATCAGGGAGAGACATCCACAATGATAGATCTCCCACCCTCCCAGTTAATCCTAGCAATTATTTGCACCATGGGCTATCAAGCACAAACAAAGTAATGGTAAAGTTAAATTAAATAGTGAGAGGATAGAGGTGTTGTTGGAGGTGTCTTCGGGAGTGCCCAGTGCTTTATCTGATATACCTCTAAACCAGGAGCTTTCAGCAACAAACTGCCTTTGGAAGGATTTAGGTCCCTCCCCATGTAAAACAAACCTCCAGGACTCACTATTCATGGTTGCAGAGTCAAGCATGATCTGAGTATGTGTGGTACAGTGCATTTAAAGGTGAATGATTATACCCTAGGAAAAAAAATAACCAAACACCAAATTAAACTTGACAAAAGACTTCTGTAATAGCTGTAAAGATTTATGTAATGTGTTTTTAAAGCTCAAGTGAACCATCAAATCAATTGGGAAAAAAAAGGGAGAAAAGTCAGTCTTTGTTATTAGACTGTTGAGTATAAAAGGCAATTTAGTGCTTTCGAAGCATTTACAGTAGCTGTAAAACAAGCACCTATTGTTCAGAGTTCCCTGTTGCTCTTTAATGGACCAGGCTCAATGAAATCACTGGAGCACATTTTTAAAGCAAAAAATAAGTCAACATACAAGATAACCAAAATACTAAATTACCAAGTTATATTTGAAGATCAACAGGATAGATGCCATCAGTGCGTGCTAATCCCTCCACAGTCTGACATTTTAACGCTTACAGTGAACAGAACACAAGTTCTTCTTACAGAAGTAAAGTTCCTAAATGTAGAAGGGTTTATTCAGCTTCTCAGTTACATAAGCGGAAATTGGAAATAACAAATTGGGTACACTGAGTTGTTCCATGGATGGGCCATGACACATGAAACCAATACTGATCCTTGTGAGTACTTTGTGTAACTCGCTTTTGTCCGTGTCCACTTGCAAACACCTGAAGTAAATCTTCTAATTACAATATGATTTGTTTGACTTTAATATAAGCATTGTGTGCATGGCAAGAGATACTTAGTCTCTTGGTAAAAAGGAAATTTGATGGTAGACCTTAAAGAAGCTCATTAGCTTCAGGAGAACTACAGCTCATTATTTTTTGAAGAGTGCATCTTCCTCAGAAATGTTGTACCTCTGAATCAGTTTGCATTCTCATTCAAATATCAAGTGTCTTAACTCTCACCTATTTTTCTGTATACTGTGCAATGGAGGTGGTTGTATTTTAAAACCTATTTCTGAATGATGTTTTTATACAATGACTGATGATGAATGAATGAATAAGTCTAAGAATGGTGTTAGAGAAAAAAAAAAAGCAGCTTTTTGTAAATACTGTAAGATTGTGAAAAAAAAACCCAACCCAAAACCTACTCTGTAACACCTTACCTTTCTTGTCTGATTGCTGCATCAGAGTGTGATAAACAGTGTTTGAAGCTTGTGCTGATTAATTATCAGAAAGATGAATGATAACATTGTTTAGAAATGGCAAAGTTGTCAGCATGTAAATTAGGGACATTAAATACATCACACGAGATATAGTAGCTTGTACTCACAGTCCTTTATTTCCAGATGTATTTCAATATTTAACCTTTAGAACATCCATCCAGAGACATGTAATTCACACTAGCCAATGGACATGACCAAACATTTCGCTCTTCTAAGAGAGATGAGCCCTGGATGCTCCCTCCAGACCCACTTCTCCAAGCCCACTGTGTTGCCACCACATCAGCTGCTTGCACAGAAATCAAGAGCATTGTCACTGGTACCAGGGTTTCATAGGTTCAGGCTTTCCAGAGCCCCCACTTCTCAGCAGGGGATGGTGCAAATGGCAACAAGACCTCAAAAAACAACATTAAGGGTCTTAAGTACAAGGCTCCTTGTAGGACCCCACTTTAAACTTTGCAAATCAACAGTGTTCATGGAAGAGACTAATTTAATAGGAATAAATCTCCAAACCTATTCAGTGGAATTTATCTTGTTTTCCTTACACTAGTTGACCACAGGGGCAGGGAGTGGATGAGGAGGAGGATCAGCGCAGGTTTGTCAGGGAGACCTTTAATTCACAGCAGGATTCCCTTTGAACTGGCAGCACTGCCAAGGTCTGCTGGTGATGCTCCCATCATGTTCCAATGAACACAGGTCCTGCAAACTGGAGGGTGCTGATTGCCTGCATGAGACTCAGTCTCAGTCAGCTCTCTGTAACAGTGCCAAAAATGTCAATTTCCCACTAAATAATTTCCCACAAATCAGGGGAGCCTTCTGTAAATGGCACAGCTGGCCAAGGCTTGGCAGATGAACCCTCCAGCATACCTCAGGATGCAGCATTGCCTGCACAGACTGCAGCAGACACTTTCCCATCAGCACAGAGTAGCCTGAGCCCTTCACAAGTACTGGGACTTCACAACTAACAGGTGAATGAAATGATTTTGTGGTGCCAGTCACCTTCCTTGTCTCCTAACTGCTAAGTCGAAACATCTGTCAGATATTAAACCCCACACCTCAGGAAGAGATGCAGACCAAATGAGCTCTGGGCACTGGGAAGTGAAAGGCATTGGAAAAGCTCCATATAATATTTCCCTTCCTCCTTTTCCCTGTAGGTCTGTGGCAGAGAGGGCAGGCGGCAGCAATTCCAATGGGAATTTTTAGAGAAAACATGGCCTAATGAAGAGAAAAGTTTGAAACCCTCCATTTTAGCATAGGAGTATTTAATAGCTGTTTTGAAAGATAACTTTCACCTATATGGAGAAACATTTTTTGTTTATGTGTTGAAACACATTTAAGTTCAGGGAAGGTTATTGGGGAGTGGTCAAAAATAAGAATATTTCAGAATTACAGTTGACACTGACAGAATGACTGACATTCTCAAACTTCATACAGATGTTTATGGCTGGATAGATTATTCTGATAGCATTTCAAATGTATGGAAATTGCTATGGACTTGCAAACTGATATGACATTATCCCAAATCTGGCAGATCTGTATCAATGTCACTGGTTCTGCTCTGCTGGCCTGATTTCATCAGGAAACCACCATGAGCTGCCAGCAGGACTGCCTGGTCTCTCCCTACCCCAGCTGGGTGTCTGTCCAGAGGCTGCCCAGGATGCAGGGAATGCCTTGCTGCAGCTGCACCACTGCACCAAGGCCACCATCTATCTCCCACCACCACTGCCCTGGCTGGCTGTGACCTGTCACCGACGGGGCCTGAGACACTCTCCAGGGTGGAAGACACCCACCAGCAGCAGCCCTGGAACAGGAGTATGTGCTGTGTTGGCTTGGTGGGCTGGGGCAGGCTCAAGCAGGGTCATCCTAGAGCACGTCCTAGGATTGTGTCCAGATGATCCTTGAATATCTCCAGTGAGGAAGACTCCACACCCTCTCTGAGCAATCTGTTCCAGTGCTCTGTCATGCACAGAGTAAAGAAATTCTTCCTCATATTCAGGTGGAGCTTCTCATACATCAGTTTCTGCCCATTTCCTCCTGTCCTGCTGCCTGGCACCACCAAGAAGAGCCTGGCTCCATTACTTGACACCCTCTCCTCAGATACTTTTAGGCATTGATAAGGTCCTCTCTCAGTCGTTTCCCCTTGAGGCTGAACAGGCCCAGCTCCCTCAGCCTGTTCTCATAAGAGAGATGCTCCAGTCCCTTCACTAACTTTGTAACTTTTCACTGGACCCACTCCAGGAGCTCTTGCACTGAGGAGCCCAGAACTGGACACGGGTCTGCCAACACACTGCTTTTATGGCCTCACTTGCTCTTTTCTCACGTCAACAGCCTGCAAGGCAGAGGCTGGAAAGTCACAGCCTCCTAAAGGCAGTGTGGTTTGCCGGGGCAGAAATGCAGGGTCCGAGCGGAGACTGCCAAGGACCTCGGTGCGTTTCAGCATGACGGTTGTAATGAGCAGAGTAAGAACTGGGACTTTTCCTTCACCCTGTGTCTCTCATCGCAGCCTTTCCTCTTTCCCACCTTTACCTCTCCCTGCTACCCTTTGCAGCATGGCCAATTCCTCCTCATGCAGCCCCCTAAACCTGCTGCCCTATGCAGAATCCTGAGTGAGCCTCCCGCCTGCTCCTGACTCCGTGTCCACCGGAGAATGAGTGGGCTCAGCAAGAGCAACGTGTGTACGTGGCCCTTAATGATCCATGACAGGACCCAGCTGGATGTACTCTCCACTCTCAGGACTTGGGCTGCACCTCGAGCTGCCTTTGTTGTCATT